GCGGACATAAGACAGAGCCCAGCCCCAGGCCCAGAACTATAGAAAATCAAAAGTAGACAGAAGCAAGGTACAGAGGCAGAATGACCGAATGTCCAAGCTGCCAGATTTATTTAAATCAATAAGTTATATTAGGTCCCTGGCATCAGTAGTACATTATTGTTCATTGTGTCATTAAGCTGGTTATAGAGTTAGCAATATTATGCAGCTTATTCCTCAGTTACACACTATAGTTGCAAGGTGCAATGTTAGGAGCTCTGTAAAGCTCTCAAGAAAGTCAAATGTTTAAAGTTATGATTATGTGGACAGGTTCAGGTGCAGAGGAGCTTGGTGAAATTTTGTGGTTGTCTAACAAGTGAGTTTCTTTATTCCAAAGAGCTGTGGACCTGAGATCAAGGTCAAAGCTGATAAGGCTCTAATACAGAGCCTCCTCATGCAGGGCAAATTGCAACAGCAGGCAGGCATTCTGTGATTTGCACAGAAGTGTTCCTAGCAGCGAGACATTCTGTGCCTCTGCACAGTAACTTCCTACCACCAAGCATGCCAAAATCATGAAGCAATCAGACACTTCAGAATCCTTACATAGAACTACCTCTGCCACTCAGAAGCCCAAGCCCATTACTTCTACCAACCTGCTGACCCATGCCAGAGCCCATGCCCAGGCTAAGGACCATCCCGGCCACTCACAGGGGAGCCCAGGCCCAATCAGGCACAGTACCATCTGACATGTGTGAGAGCCCAGGCCCAGGACCGCCTCTGCTCAGAGCAGAAGACCATGCTGGGGCTCCCCATTTACCAATGCATTACTCCCCCAGCCTGCCTCCATCTTGGAACACTGCAGCCATTGCTATAGCCCTCCCCAAGTTGTAACCTCCACCTTTGAACAACAGACAGAGATTGGAGGCAGCTGCCTCCTGAAGCACAGCAGGCCAAGTGCTGCATCTCAGAACAGGCAGCCCAAAGCCATTGTATGGCCCCTCATTTTATCTCCATCTCTGAAAGTGGATGAATCCATCTTGGGACATCCCTATTGCTATATTGAGTTACCTCCGCTACTGCCACCACCACCTTTACCTGCAGTAGTATCCATCTTGGAACACAAGCCCAACACCAAGGTGAGGGAGAGGTAATCTTCAGGCACACTACAAGATTATAGGGTAGAAACTGCAATACATCAGATCCACATTATGAGAAAGGAAAATAGAGAGACAACATGAAAAAAGAAGAGAAGAAGTTGCCCCAAAGAAACCAAGATATTGCAATAATAGAAACAACAGCACAATTAATGAAATGTCATAGAAGGAGTTCAGAATGTACATAATTAAAATGATCTGTGAATTAAAGAATGATATAAGAGAGCAAATATAGGAAAAAATTGATCACTCTATCAAAGAGATAAGAGAGCAAATACAGGTAGCAAAAGATTACTTCAAGAAGGAGATAGAGATTCTGAAAAAAAAAAAACAGAAATCCTTGAAATGAAGTAAACAATAAAACAAATAAACAACTCAATAGAAAGTATCACCAACAGACAGAACATCAGTTATAATGAAGACAAAATATACAATTTTGAAAATAAGTTGAGCACATAGTAAAGATTCTAAGAAATCATTAATAGAACTTCCAAGAATTATGGGATATCATCAAAAGACCAAATCTAAGATTTATTGGGATAGAGGAAAGCACAGAAATTTAAATCAAAGAAGTATTCAATCTCTTTAGTTAAATAATATCCAAAAAAATTCCCAGATATGAAGAATAAATTGGAAAATCAAATACCAGAAGCTTACTGGACACCAAATGTACAAAATAACAACATATTTACACCAAAACACATTATAATGAAAATGCCTAGCATACAGATTAAGGATAGAATCATAAAGGACACAAGAGAGAGGAATCCGATTACATATAAGGGGAGACAAATTTGAATCTCTACAGATTTGTCAACCCAGACTCTCAAAGCTGGGAGATTCTGGAGCAATATATAGCAAGCTCTTTTTTTTT